CCAGCATTGTAGCACAGCTGCCGGTGTGAATGCAGCCTTAATGGTTTGGGGTCATTTGCATCAATTTTCCAATGTTTGTTTTCAAATAGATTTTTTTTTGAATGTCATCTCTTGTACTAAGAAACCTTAAGTATATGACAGAGGATTCCCAAAGTGCTAGTGGTTATCTAAAAAGACAACCAAGCAGTAGCTGCTTGCGCACTGTTTGAAACCCCTGATATGGGAAGAGCTGCTGCTCTGACTCATTCGTGTGTGTTTTCAGCTTGAGCTAATGTTCCTGTAGACAAAGCTTTTTTAACAAAGGAGGAAAAGACAGAGGAAAATGAGCATAAACGCACTCCCTTCTGGCTAAAATTAAGTAATCAACATGCAGTCCTCTCCGTAATGAAAAAATATACAAAACATTTTATACATTCCCTTAAACGTTTAAAATGTGGCCTTTACTTTAGCAAAACGGCTCACTATTCTGAGCCGCTGTCTTATTTGGAATAAGTTTCATAGAATCCCATCGCACTCCTGACCGGATACAACCCAAAACATCAGGTGGGTGCTGTAATGACTGTGGGTGCCACCTCAAATCAAGTACAAATTCACAAAATAGTCACCAGCACACCAAAGTGAAATCTGTCATTTCTTCTTTGTTGACAAAAGAAAGGTATGTCGCAATGTGTAGCGGTGTTTCTGAAGCATTTCGGTCCCTTCAGGCAAACAGTGATGTTCTGTTAGCCTGAAGAAGGGACCGAAATGGTTCTAAACGTCGCTACACATTGAGACATACCTTATATTATACAGGATTTATATAGCGCCAACAGTTTGCGCAGCGCTTTACAATATAAGGAAGACGTTACAATCACAATACAAATCAAGACAAGATGGTAAGGAGGGCCCTGCCCGTGAGGGCTTTCAATCTTTCTTTTGTCAATAAAGAATAGACAGAAGTGTTTTGAATTTATTAGGATTAAGGGCTCATTCAGTGAGCTGCATTGATCAACGCAAGGGCACATGGAAAGCAATTGTTCTCTGCTCTGTCCACACCATACATGTGAGATGATGTGCTTGTCTGCATTTTGTTCTCGGTGCAATGCACATCAGCACATGTCAGTGAACCACCCCTGCAGAACAGATAGCAGTACATGCTCAGTGAAGGAAACATAACGCACCCATTGGCTGCTGTGAACATGCCCTCAAATCATGTTCCTATTTACCTTTCATTTTTTTAACTTGTTATAAATAAAATGCACTGAAATCACATTGGTTGCTGTAGGCAAAACAAACGCTATCGCTCAACATTTTATCAATCCTTTTCCCTGTAATTATGGAAATGACTGAAAGCTGGGCAAATGAACATGTCGACTAAATGATTCTGATTGATTTAGGCACCATGCTGAACTAAATGGCCAGAACATCTGCTGCCGCTTGTATTTGATGCATGGTAATTTAGTTTGCCCGTGTTTTCCTCTGTGTACAGAAAAGGGTTTAACCAGTTGAACATACCAGTCCACCAAAAATCTTAACTTCATTTAATGGCTCTCTGGTTTTCTTTTACTCAAGGTCTACCTCCGGCTTTGTTTTTATAGCGCAGTTCCTACTGCCAGTTGACCATAAGTGCCCTCACTACCCAATCTATTCTTTTGACTTGTCTTACCTCACTGTATTGGTTTTGGTAATGGTCCCTTCATTTCTTCCATTTTTACAAATGTCACTGTGCTGAACAGTTAACTTAAATCTAATTTCAACTGTTCAGCAGCCTATTCTGGTTGGAGATTTGTTGGTCCTGTGAGATTTCGTTTAACAAGCTGCATCCTGTCGGTAGAATTGGGTGATTTCCATTGTTGGCCTTTGCTGGGAACAGAGAGACACATCGCACCTGCTCTGCATGACTTATAGCAAACGTAAGGAAGTTGTGCGAGAAATCTGTGAGAGAGGGATGATTCATCCCAGAAGAATTGCCAGCTGGCAGCATATCTTACAAAGTTTGAGAAAGCTGTAGCCTTGATGGTTACTGGTATCTTGATGTGTGAAAGTGAAATAAGCGTTCTTAATAAGGAGACATTTTAATTACATTGGCAATTGGGTGCTCCAAGAAACTGCAAAATTTGAGGTGTACGTGCTGAAATTGACACGTAACCCAGGAGTTAAATCCTAAAAATACATTCAAGTACTTTACCTATTAACAAAAATGTGTCTTGTGTATCGCTCAGCTGTAGAGCCTCAAGTCATCTCTGAATTGGTACTGACACTGTCCTTCCTTGTGGAGGATGGCTACTTTTGTTCCCCATGATCCCTGTGTGTGTTGTAAAGCAACCACCGCTCCAAGCTCACTCCGGTGATGGACTATAATCTCAGGTTTAGTTAGTTTGTATCGATCACCGGAACGAGCTTGGAGCGGTCACTACTTTTCAACATGCACAGGGACCATGGGGAACACAGGTAGCCCCCTTTCAGAAGGAAGGACAGTGTCGGCACCAATTCAGAGATGATTTGAGGATCTACAGCCGAGTGCTACACAGATGAGATATTTTTGTTAATAGGTAAAGTACTTGAATGCATTTTTAAGGTTTAGCTCCTGAGTTTAAGGTTACATTAATGTTGTGCTACAATAGCTTCCAATTCCCTTACACTTCTGTGAAGCTGTTCTGATTGAGAGTTCACTGGGCCTCATATTGAAAGTGAAGGAAAGTATCAGTTGCAGCACATTTTATCAAATGTTGCATTGTGGGTGCAAATCATTTTTCCCCCTAGCTTGCAACTTTTGGGATTCTTATGTGTTGTTTTTTTTTTTTTGTTTAAAGTTAGTAAAATTGCAATTTACTGTTCCTTAAGCATGTTAGCTGCATTCAGGATTTGTTTTATATTAGACTTCTCTATTTTCACCTGAGGATCCTGCAACTAATACACTTCTGTCTTAAGTTGACATTGCTCACTCATCACTTTAGCTCTATAGAAGGAGGAGCGTTGTCACCCTAGGACAGAACTGTCTCCTCTTGTCATTAACGTAGAGGAGATTTCTCAGAACAATGCTGAGAACCTTCACCAGAGGGCATAGTGCACACAAAGTTATCAGCTCACAAAACTTCTAGTAGGAACAACAGATATGTTTGCACTTTGCAAACCAATATAACAAGGCTCTTTAATGGGGTGGGGGTATAATGGTTGTGTGTACAATTGTGCTCATAAGCTTACATACCCGGGCAGAATTTATGATTTCCTGGCCATTTTACCTTTGTCACTCATGGGTAGTGTTTGGCTGAAGCCATTTATTATCAATCAACTGTGTTTACTCTTTTCCAATCATATTGACAACAGAAACTACCCAAATGACCCTGATCAAAAGTTTACATACCCTGGTGATTTTGGCCTGATCACATGCACACAGGTTGACACAAAGGGGTGTGAAAAGGCTATTAAAGGGAACCATCCTCACCTGTGATCTGTTTGCATGTTATCAGTGTGTGTATAAAAGGCCAATGAGTTTCTGGCCTGCTGACAGACCCTTGCATCCTTCATCCAGTGCTGCACTGACGTGTCTGGATTCTGAGTCATGGGGAAAGCAAAAGAATTGCCAAAGGACCTGTGGGAAAAGGTAGTTTAACTGTATAGAACAGGAAAGGGATATAAGATATCCGAGGAATTGTGAAGGCCAATCAGCAGTGTTCAAACTCTAATCAAGAAGTGGAACTTCAAATGTTCTGTTGAAACCAAACCACGGTCAGGTAGACCAACTAAACTGTCAGCCACAACTGCCAGGAAAATTGTTCGGGATGCAAAGAAAAACCCACAAATAACTTAAGGTGAAATATAGGACGCACAGAAAACATGTGGTGTGGCTGTTGCAAGATGCACAATAAGGAGGCACTTGAAGAAAGATGGGCTGCATGGTCGAGTCTCCGGAAGAAAGCCATTACTACGCAAGTGCCACAAAGTATCCCGCTTACAATACGCCAAACAGCACAGAGATGAGCCTCAAACCTTCTGGCACAGTCATTTTGAGTGATGACACCAAAATTGAGCTTTTCAGCCACAACCATAAACGATATATTTGGAGAGGAGTCAACAAGGCCTATGATGAAAAGTACACCATTCCTACTGTGACACACGGAGGTGAATCTCTGATGTTTTGGGGATGTGTGGGCTACAAAGGCACAGGAAAGTTGGTCAGAATTGATGGCACGATGAATGCAGTATTTTATCAAGATACTGGAGGACAATTTGCATGCATCAGCCCGGAAGCTGCGCATGGGACGTACTTGGACATGCCAACATGGCAATGATCCTAAACGCAAGGCCAAGTTGACCTGTCATTGGCTACAGCAGAATAAAGGGAAGGTTCTGGAGTGTCCATCTGTCTCCTGACCTCAATATCATTGGACCACTCTGGGGAGATCTCAAACGTGCAGTTCATGCCAGACAGCCCAAGAATTTACAGGACCTGGAGGCTTTTTGCCAGGAAGTATGGACAGCTTTACCATCAGAGAAGATAAAGAGCCTCATCCACACATACAACAAAAGACTTCAAGCTGGCATTGATGTTAAAGGGGGCAACACACCGTATTAAGAACTGGGGTATGTAAACTTTTGATCAGGCTTCAGTGTTTGGCTTCAGCCAAACACTACTCATGAGTGACAGAGGTTTTCGTGTTGGCATTCATATTCTCTGAAAAATGGCCAGGAAGTGTGTGTGTGTGTGTGTGTGTGTGTGTGTGTGTGTGTGTGTGTGTTTTTAAATGAGATTTTACCATGTTTTTAACAAACGATGGTAAATACAGCCACACAAGTTAGTTTAAAATGTCTTTCCTTGTAGTAAACATTCACATATAATGTAAATGTAGTAATCAAGATGTTTTCCAGTGAAGATTAGAAAATAAAAGGGATGATGGGTTTACTTGCGCCTGTTCACATCTGTGCGGGTTCCAGCGCTATAAATTGAGTTTTACTGCCGGAAGAAAAGTTACTTTGACAATTGTCACAAAAAAATGTTTTTAATGCATAACTGCAATTGTTGGCCCAAGAGAAATAATGTTGTTGGAATACCTCCCAAACACATTACATACTAAATGTGCAAAACATGGATTTCTATTTGTGCTTCAAACTCTGCTACCTGTATTTAGACAGAATAATTTTCTCAAACGTCGGTCTCGCCATTTTGATTTGCAGCAAACTTGTTTTTAAACTAACATTTATTGTGATATTAGCTGATGCCTCTCATTCTGGATTTAACATGTTAAAATGGCAAACACCCTGTGCATGCCGATCACACTGTAGGTTTTAATTGGTTCTCATGCGATGTGATTATAACCATATCTCTGTTGCAGATGTTCAAGCTGTTGCTTACGAGGAGCCAAAACACTGGTGTTCTATTGTCTATTATGAGCTGAACAATCGAGTAGGAGAGGCGTTCCATGCCTCCTCCACAAGTGTGCTGGTGGATGGTTTCACCGATCCCTCCAACAACAGGAACAGATTTTGCCTTGGGCTCCTGTCCAACGTTAACCGTAACTCCACTATTGAGAATACCAGGCGGCATATCGGGAAAGGTAAATCTACCTTTAAAGTATTGCATTGCAATTATTTTTGCTCTGTGGTTTTGCTCTCCTAAGTTAAACCGCTTAAGGATTTTGAATGTAACAAATACGTCCTAAAAAAAACTTCCCACAATAGCGTCCGTCTCCTCTCCCCGTGCTGCTATGAATAGCAGTTAGCAGCTGTCAAAAAGGCAGCCGGTATCTGCTTTGCATTATACAGCGGCGGATGTCAAAATGCAGCTGCTCCTGTGTGAAATGACAATTGCAGATAGTCTGCACGTGTCTTTTCAATAGTGTAACAATTGGGGATGCACCGAAATTTCGGCCACCAAAACATTTCGTGCGGAAATGGTACTTTGGACATAAAGGCCGAAAATTCAGTGCATCTCTAGCTCCTCACCTCCCCGCTGGACGCTAGTCTGTCTCCTCCGATGCCCACTGTTCTCACCCGCCTGTGTTGGCAGAGACAGCAGGAATTTGAGGGGACCCAGACCAGCAGCCTCCACTGGGAAGGAGAGAAGGTTGGGGCCTGCCAAATTTCTTTTTATTTTCAGTCTAATAATTCTAATTTTAGTGGATCCCTAGTAACCATGTGGCGTTTCCTTGTATTTACTATTTAATTTGTATGTAGCTCAAATATGTGTCCCTTTGATCTACATATAGATGAAACCGTAAATGCAGCGACCTCATCTAAAGAAACCTTTCAAGTTACGTTTAGTTTTTTTTACTTTAAATAAATGTATTCCTAGTATAACCCTAATTAAGTCTTCACTCCCCTTAACTATGATTTTGTGCTAGTTTTATTGCTGTTGTGTAACAGGAAAATATGCCAAATTGACCCCAATTTATTTTAAATTTTTTGTTTTCCTTTGCAAAAAAACTATGCCATGCTTTGTACCAGAAACCTCAGCAAGACACATTATAGCATTGGATATATATACTTTTTCATTACGGTATTAAATGTTTACTTGCAATAAAACTACTTTTTTGCACAACAATATTACCAAAAGAGCCTAGTTTTCCACCAAAAAAAACATACGTTTTACTTTATCTTCATTAACCACTTGCCCTCCGTCCGTTGTAAAAAGGACAGACTGTAAACTCCCATTGGCAGGTCTCCGTAAATAAAGGGCTTTTTCCTGCTCGCGCACACCGGCAGAAAAAAAAAACTGTTAAATGGAAACAGCCGTTACCAGCAGCTCTATAGTGCAGCATGTGCTTCCCCCCCTGCACCCTCACCTTCAATCCGGGGCTCCACTGCCCCATCTGTGGCCCGGGACTGGCTTGGGTGGGTGCTAGGAGGGAGATCAGCTTCTCCCTCTGACACATGAGTGATGTGTATTACATTACTTCCACATTCAGCTGTCATTTCTCTGGCTACTATAGCCAGAGAAGAAACTGGTGAAGCAGATCTCTGCTTCATCAGCTTCTTTGGGGGTCTCCAGGTGACTGTGGATCTTAAGAGGCCCCTAATGTCTCCATGGAGAGGACCTGTCAGTGTGCCTGTGCTATCACATAGGTATTGTTGACCCCCTATGTGATCGCAATAATAAGTGTAAAAAAGTTTTTTTAAAATATATTTAAGTCCCCCATATGCATATATAAACGTAAATATGCGGCAGGTGCGCCAACGTGCGAAAATTACAATTGCGCTACAAATTTAATAATACAAATGTCAGAGAGCAATCATTTTAGGGCCATCAATCACTGATAAACACCAAACTGATTAGCGATAAAAGCTTTTAAAGCGCCGCCTATGGCCAATTTTGGGTATTGTAGTTGAGGTTTCGCGGGCGTGCGCAATTTTAAGGCTTGACATGTTTGGTGTCCATTTACCCGATGTAGATAGCCCATGGTCCCATCGCACTCCTGACCGTGTAAATCCCTAAAAGAATTGGGTGCTGCGGTAGTCAACGGGTGGTATTTGCAAAATACGTCTATTTATTGACGTGCATCGTGTTAGAAAACAAGTGTATGTTTTACCTGATGAAGGGGATCCTTTGTGACCCCGAAACGTTAGTTGTTTTCTAACACGATGCACGTCAATAAATAGACGTATTTTGCAAATTTGGAGTGCCGGTGTCTCTGCTTCAGCTCATTTACCCGACGTGACCCTGTCTTCTATATTTTACCAAAAAATTTCATAATAAATGTTTAATAATTTAATACAGGGGGAAAAGTTGTTGTTTTTTACCAAAAGATTTTCGGTATTTTTTTCCTTAATCTAGTAAATAAAAGAAATTAAATACCACCAAAAGAAAGCTCTATCGGTCCCTAAAAAATGGTATAAAATGTATTTCAGTACAGCGTTGCATGACAGCATAAATGTCAAAGTACCGCAGCGCTGAATACTGAAAAATGGCCTGGGCAGCAACTGGGTTTAATGCCCCGGTCAGCAAGTGGTTAATGACATCATTATCTCCAATTAAACGGGCCCATAGTGAAAATCGAGAAGTTGCACCAGTCCATAAGGGGTATACAGGTTTGAGCTGAGGTGGCTAAACTGAACGTTCTATCACAGAATCTATTAATGTTAAATACAGAGTCTGGCACAGCGCAGGAGCCAGGCAGCCAATGTTCCTAAAATTACAGCTGTCAGTTGATGTGTAAAGCCAATCATTCAAATCTTTAACACTCGCCAAATAAAAACCAAAATCTGCAGGTTTTAATTTAAAAAATACTGTTTTTAGTAAAATGTATAAATTGCTTCCAGTCTGGATTTACATGGATTTTCCTTCGTTTTTGTTTTTTTGAACTATTTTTTTTTTCTCTGGAATTCAACAAAAGGGCCAGTTGGAGCCTAAATTTTATTTGGCAGATGCTGTACTTCGATAGGACCAGAAGTGTTTCATGTGTATTGTTAGAGACAAGTGTTTGAGTATACGCAAATCTCGCTCCCCCGGCCAAATCTTTTATATTAGACGCAGTGTTTTGATGGATTTCCTGACAGGCTACATTGATCTTAGATTTTAGAATCAATGGGGGTAATTGTATGTTTTAATACTAGTCTAAAAGGTGACCACCACCCAAGACCTGATCCTGCATCGTGGTGTGTCTGTTTAGATTAATTGTAAGGAGAGCCCAACATACTCCTTACCGGTATGCCCCTTGCAGATGGGTGCTGAAGTGGCTGCGGTTGGCGCCACTGTATCCAAGTGAAAATAGTATGTCACCAGTACGCCAAGGTCAAATGTCCAAATGCTGTTTGTTCATCTTGTCACAGACAAGGTTTCGGGCCACTTAGGGAACCTTCATCAGGCATAGTATGTTTTAGATTGAATGAATCTGAGCAGTGGATGGGCTAGGTTGCCTGTGGCAGTTTTTGCAAGCACAGTGAAAGACCAATATTTGGGTTCCTTTCCTTTAGAAACTAGGAGAGGGTCACTCAGGAAGGGCTTTCACTTAAGCTGTATTTCATTTTGTTCTGCTACACAACTGGATGTATTCTTTGTTCTCCAGTTTTTCTGGGATGTCTATTGTTAACCATTGTTTGCAACAAATTAAATATTCTAGATCATCTCCTGTGGTGCTGTATGAAGGGTTATAAAAACAAAGGCTGCTTTTATGATTAAAATAAATTGTGTAAAGTTATTGAATATGATGCCGGCAAGGAGGCCAGAAATATCACTGCTGGGACCTTCAAAAAGATATGAGGCTGGTGTGTGATAAGCTACCATCTACCCGAAACTGAATTATCAGCCAATTTGTTTCAGCTGTAGCTTTGACTTCCAACTCTCAGACAATAGTTCCAGTGTTCTCATCACAAAATGTTCTTCTCTTATAGGTGTCCATTTGTACTATGTTGGAGGCGAAGTATATGCAGAGTGCTTGAGTGACAGCAGCATCTTTGTTCAGAGTCGGAATTGTAATTACCATCATGGATTTCATCCTACAACTGTATGCAAGATTCCAAGCGGATGCAGCTTGAAGATCTTCAACAACCAAGAGTTTGCTCAGCTTTTGGCCCAGTCGGTAAACCATGGATTTGAGACAGTCTACGAACTTACCAAGATGTGCACTATTCGGATGAGCTTTGTTAAAGTAAGTCATTCTGCTTGGACTATAAACCTGGAGGAGAGCATGTTTGTTAGTGTTTCCTGGGCTTTTTTATAGTAACAGATCCTAATAGAAGTCCACTGACCCGATAAATTGCTGTGCTCTCTGCTTGTGCTGCACTGTAATCTGTTGTCCTCTGTGAACTACAGAACTTCTCCGCTTCTATGTTATGGAGAAGAGAGGGGTGTTCTATAGTCCAGAAACACTTCTTTACTAGGGTGACACTGCTGTCCCTCCATAAATAGTATGATCACTGTCACCCTAAGACAGGAAGTGTTCCTGGAAGCTCACAAGGGAGAAAACAAAACTAATGTTGCCACCTTCACTCCTACTGCGGACTGTCCCTCGACGTCCACGCATGCAATGCAGGGATATGGAACCTCCATTGTAGTAGATCTCTAGAGCAAAGTTGAGAAGGTGCTGTCGGGACCAGTGCAGCAGCCCAGAGGGTTCTCTGGGCTGCTGCAATATATTAGTCAACCCTTGCTGTGCATGGTCAGCCCCACTGCAAGGGAAAACTTAAAATTTCCCTGGAGTTAGCTTAAAGAGCTGCAGCAATCTACTTTGAGATGATTTTGGATTCATATTGACTTGTGTGGGAAAGAAACGTTGCTCAGACACAAGTCATGTAAATAAGTTGTTGTCACTATGAGATCCCATCATGTTCTGTTCGCTAAAGCCTGCTACCCTGTTTCCCCGAAAATAAGACCTACCCCGAAAATAAGACCTAGTACTATTTTTGGGAATTGCTAAAATATAACAGTGGTGTGGAAATTTTTTTAAAAACTACTTGTCCAAGGGCTAAAGTGGGGGCCAAATCTACTTGTCCTTCACGACAATCCACTTGTCCCAATACAAAAAATAGTTTTAATCAAAACTAAGGATGCACCAATACCGGTTTTTCGGTATCGAGTACAGATTTTTTGCTTTTGGATCTCGCCGACACTGAATACTAATACCGGTGCTTCCACTGACATAGAGCAGGCTACCCTGGTAATCTGAAGCTCACAAGGGAGAAAACAAAACTAATGTTGCCACCTTCACTCCTACTGCGGACTGTCCCTCGACGTCCACGCATGCAATGCAGGGATATGGAACCTCCATTGTAGTAGATCTCTAGAGCAAAGTTGAGAAGGTGCTGTCGGGACCAGTGCAGCAGCCCAGAGGGTTCTCTGGGCTGCTGCAATATATTAGTCAACCCTTGCTGTGCATGGTCAGCCCCACTGCAAGGGAAAACTTAAAATTTCCCTGGAGTTAGCTTAAAGAGCTGCAGCAATCTACTTTGAGATGATTTTGGATTCATATTGACTTGTGTGGGAAAGAAACGTTGCTCAGACACAAGTCATGTAAATAAGTTGTTGTCACTATGAGATCCCATCATGTTCTGTTCGCTAAAGCCTGCTACCCTGTTTCCCCGAAAATAAGACCTACCCCGAAAATAAGACCTAGTACTATTTTTGGGAATTGCTAAAATATAACAGTGGTGTGGAAATTTTTTTAAAAACTACTTGTCCAAGGGCTAAAGTGGGGGCCAAATCTACTTGTCCTTCACGACAATCCACTTGTCCCAATACAAAAAATAGTTTTAATCAAAACTAAGGATGCACCAATACCGGTTTTTCGGTATCGAGTACAGATTTTTTGCTTTTGGATCTCGCCGACACTGAATACTAATACCGGTGCTTCCACTGACATAGAGCAGGCTACCCTGGTAATCAGGAAACCAGGCAGCAGGTAATGACATCCCGCCCAGGTTCCAAGACTCCATGTTGTTTGGCCTGCTTGATTGGCCGGGAAACCTGCTTCCCGGTCAATCAGGAAGCCGGGTGGCGAGTAATGACCTGATTTGACCGGGAAACTGGCTCGATGCTGATTGGCCAGGAAGCCGGCTTTCCAGCCAATCAGCAAGGAGCCGGCTTCCCGCGCCAATCAGAACCAGGAGGCGGGTCATTACTTGCCGCACGGCTTCCTGATTGCACGGGAAGCTGGCTCCATGTTCGCCTACGGCACTGCCAGTCAGAGGAAATTTTCATCTGGCCGTAAGTTCCAATATCGAGGAAGGTATGGGAGCATTTGGGTACGAGTACTTGCCCAAATACTCTGTATCGGCACTGATACTATCGGTGCACCCCTAATCAAAACATATTTTACTGTGCTAAATAGCGCTTCTCACTGGTCAGCGCAGTCATCTGACCACGTTAACCAATGAGTGCTTGCAATTTGCGAGCGAAATTCAAAATGCATAGGGGAGGACTGCACTGGACAGCAGTACGGGGGACAGATAGTACACCCATACTGGCGGAGGGGAGGGATTGTTCGCCAAAAGGTAAGTATAGCCAGGGGGGTGGCGGTTTGGGAGAGACAGGGCCAGATTTCATCTGGTAATTTTAATTTTTCCATATTACCTGGGAAAATGAACGTACCCTTTAATGCACATTATGTTTGTGTTAGAGAATTCTGGCTACCACCATGGAATGGCAGCTGCAGTCTCAAAGCACATGCAGAATGTCCTACGCATGCGTTTATTTGCATGCAGATTGGGTGGGTAGCAGGGTTTCATTTTTTTTTATTTTTTACTTTTTCATTTTTTAAAATCTTTATATATTTTTTTAACTTTTTACATTTTCTTTAACTTTTTATTTACTTTTTCCACTTAATGTTCTTCCTATTGCATAGGAGATTAAAATCGCTTATGTGATAGTTTGGAGGTGACAGGTTCTCTTTATGGAACCTGATCTCCAACACAGAACAGCTGTTCTGTGTAGTTCCTGACAGCCGAGACAGGTGGTGCTGTGATTACAGCGCCACGGTCTCAGAACACGCAGCCCGTAGAGCAGAAGTTTGTCGTCTGCTCTATGGCTGAGCCGTTGTGCCTTAGTTTTTGGTGGTTCCCTGGGAGAGCGGGCGACCCCGAAAACTACAGCGGGGGGTGCAGGCAGAAACGATCGCAGCTTCTCAAATTAATACAAGTGGTCTGATCAGACCACTTGTATTAAACGAGCGGCGGCGGCTCCACAATGTACATTCAGCTCTGCTTGTCTGGAGCAGGGCTGAATGTACTTTAAAACTACTCGCCCGGCGCCCGAAACTGCATGTCCCGGGCGTCGGGCTATAGGAATTCCACACCCCTGTATAAGACCTACCCCGTAAATAAGACCTAGTTGTGACCATTCCCAGGGCCGGTGGTGGCATAAGGGGGAACTTGAAGAGCTGCGGGAGATTATCAGTGGTGCCAACAAAGCCAGCACTAGAGGAAGCTAGGCGGCACCGGAGGGAGCAGAGCCGCATAAGCCGATGCTTCCTCTATAGCGCCGCCTCCTGTCACTGGCGGAGTGATACCAGCCTGGGAGGAATTGATAGTGAAAGCGCGTTTCGCTCATTCTGCCCAGCGATTGGTTACCAAATTACTCTTGGAAAGGTACGGCACCCCTGATTGCACTGATCACCCTATTCTTAACTTTGCCATTTTGGATTATTTCATTTGGATTTGCGTTAACTTTGGATTGTTATACATTAAAAAAAAATAAGACCTACCCCGAAAATAAGACCTAGTGTGTGTTTTTTTGGGGGAAACAGTATTTGTAAGCATAGGTTTCCTTTTTTTCTGTACTGTTGTAGTACTATTGGATAACTGACTCTGTATAGTTACTTGATAAATCTTGACAATAGTTTTTTCCTCTTCACTTTCAGGGATGGGGTGCAGAGTATCATCGCCAGGATGTTACTAGCACCCCCTGCTGGATTGAGATTCACCTGCATGGCCCTCTTCAGTGGCTGGATAAAGTACTTACTCAGATGGGCTCCCCCCATAACCCAATCTCATCTGTCTCCTAAATGGAACTGGACATTTCTGGATGCTATGGAGCCGTGCATGTACTTGAAGGACGTATGCATCAGACACATACTGGCTGAAGGAGGGGACTTTTTTTTCATTTTTTCTTTTTATGTATACGGTTTGGGAGCCTCTAATACTTGATGTTTGTGACCAACTCAACATGAGAGGGGAAGAGGGTCCCTACTATGAGATGTGGCTCAATTTTCACAGCAGCTAATTCTATATTTTTTTTTTTTTT